CCCCCCTCGGACCCTCACCTTATACTCATACTTCGTACTTCGTCCTACAATAAGCTTGTTAAAATATGAGATACGCTTTAAGCTTAGTTCAATTAAAATGTATTTACCTAATTATATTGTTTTTCCAGGAATCCTTTCCCAGTGGAGAACAGACTTCTTGATTCTAGTCTACAGGTGAAAATAATTGAACTTCAAATTTCTATAAATTCTTTTTCAGGGGAATGAGTTTTCTAGAACTACCCTTTTCTTTCGGGGGTGGGGGGGAATGATTGGAATTCACCTGGCAAGTTTTCCCCTGATTGCTGCGTTTTCCTCAAAAAAAATTTATTTCACGGAGATTTTTCAAGATAATTTAAACTAAAATAAGCCCCTGCTGAATTGGGGACATTGAATGTACAATGTCCATTGTACAGCACGTGAGAACGTTTTTAATTATCTTCTTGTTCCAGGATTTTAACAGTTTTGCGAAGTATGTAAACCAGTTCAGATCTGCTGAATTCCTGGAGGCAGTTTCAGACTTACATGTTCTCATCTTCATGGCTAACCTTGACATTATCCCGCTCAGGTTAGTTACTCATGTTCTCATCTTCATGGCTAACCTTGACATTATCCCGCTCAAGGTTACTATACTAGATTCACTTACAGGAACTGGAGACTTAATTTCAAGTTACCCTTCATTTGTAGAGTGGCATGTTCTGTTCACATGTTTAAACCTTTATCTGATCAAGGATGAATGTTAAATCGGTAAATCAAGATTAATATTTGTTCAGACCATTGATGGGACCTCTGCTTGAGGCTGTGAGGACCGGAGATAGAGAGGCTGCGAGGGAATGGAGCTACCTGGATCCCTGGAGCAACCTCCAGGCTTTGATTCAAGCTTCCACCATGAACTAGTCTAACCTCTACCTATTAATCATGGAGATATGATTTATCAACACAATTTAATTCGGTTAAATGATGTTAATAAACAACTGTTCTTAGTTTTACAGCAACATACCAGCATTGAATAGCGTTTTATGTTTTTAACAACAGTTTCATGTTGTTTAGCAACAGTTTCATGTTGTTTAACAACAGATTCATGTTGTTCAATAACATTTCATGTTTTTCAACAACATTTTATGTTGTTCAACATCAGTTTCATGTTGTTCAACAACCGTTTTATGTTGTTCAACAACATTTTCATGTTGTTCAGCATATTTTTTTAACATGTCATGTTGTTCAATATATCAGGTTATGTTCTTCAAATAATTCAAGATTTAAATTCTTTTTTGCTGGTATATTTTTATTCATCAATTCTCTGCTTTTGCTGAAAAAAAAGCCGTAGATCAAAAATGTCTGTTTTGTGTTTTTTTTATTTCAATCTATACAAACAGATAATTATTTCAATGCATATTTTAACCGTCCAAAAATTTAATATGTAAAAAGTGTCACACAGTTTGTTTCAGATATTTTAATAAACAAATTTTAAGTTGACTTTTCTAATTTTTTATGATATGTTTTGGTTTCAGACGTAAGATGACACGGAAACTATTTTCATAAGATATTTGTGAGGATTTGTCTGAAAAAGTTTATTTACTAAATACGAATTCTAGGGTCAGTCCAAAAAGTTGAAGGAATTTAATAACAGAAAATTTGACATTAATCAATTTTGAATCTTGAAAATTTTATCTGACCAAACCAAAAACAAAAAACTTGACGATTAAAACTAATTTTTACTATAAACCCTGGTATTTCAATTCCCTTCATAATGAAAATATAAATAAAAATAAATTGACCAAAAACTACATTATTTCAGAAAAATGCGGCTAAACGTAGACGGACTGTTGGTTCATTTCCCGTATGATTATATATACCCAGAACAGGAACAGACTCATTATATTTTATTCTATGGTTTAGCGCAATAAAAACCTATTGTTAAGAGAAGAGGCATTTTACCCAGGAGTGTATGCTAAGTCCACTACCCCCAGGTTTCCATCGGAAATTCAGTACCAAATGGGGTTTAAGCCCCCCCCCCCCCCCCCCCCCCCCCACCCCCAAAGTCCTGTTTACGCCTCTGAGAAGTTATTATATATAGAATTTTATTTGAAAGCTAAAACTGAATTAAGAAAGTTTTAGTATAGATACAAATGATCCAAAAGAAATAGACTAATTGAAGAAAAAAATTGAAATTGCGACTTTAAGATAAAACAAATCTAAAGTTATATGAGCACAATTAATTGGTTTAAAAAAACTAAAAACAGTAGTGCAACATATTTTAAACCTTACAAGTTATTGATTAGATAATTACCCTTTTGTCAACTCAATGTTTACTTGTCTAGAATTTTTCTCCTTAAAATTTAACTAATTTATTCTAGATCTAAATAGATAAATGGTTTGAAATTATTTCATTTTAGTGAAATAGGAAAATTAAGACTATTGTTAAGTCTATTATTTATAAAAAAAAAAATTTAAAAAATCGGGAATCAGAAGAATGGCAGATTCTTCCGGATTTGGATCCCAACCTTTGTCTTGAATATGTACGAGAGTACTGCATGCCTAGTTCTCCTACATGTTGGAGTTAAAGAAAGGACTGGACGCTCATGGACATATTTTACTGGAGATGCCCTCAGGTACATGAAACATGGGAGCATACTTTCTTTAAAAATCACCCCCCCCCCCTTCTGTTCAGGGGGCGGGGGAGTATTTTTAAGATACTATTACTGGGTAAAAAATTTGTTTAAAAATATCAATTTTAAGCTTCCAACCGTCTTATTCTGTTAATTGCAGATCTTACCGCGTATCAGCTTGTATTCATGTTACTATATTCTAGTGTACCGTACTGTGCTTCTGTATAATATTATCATTGTATAAGTTTAAAAACTGGTAGCTCAAATAGTTAGCTCATATGCTCATTAAACGTAGAGAACTAACCAAACTCATCATTGTAATGTACTGTACTATTAATATATATCTAGGAATTGGTAGGATAGTATAAATGCGTTTTCTAATAGTTAGTCTATATGCACAAAAGAACTAGAAAAATAACCAAATTGTTTATATTTGTTCGACCTTGAATATTTTACTAATAATTTAGTTAGCAACACCTATCTAATTTTGCATGGGTTTGTTTTGCGAGTTTTTGGAATCCGTTAAATTCAATTATGTTCAAATTCTCTTTTAACTGAAATGCACTGTATTGTACTCTACTGCACTTAATAATATTATATATTTAGGAACTGGTAAGACAGTATCACTGCTGGCTCTTATAGTTGCCCATATGCACAATATACCTACAGAACTTAGTTGTTGTATTGAACTGTATACTGTACTGCTGTGTGCTGTACTGTACTGTACTGATATTATATATCTAGGAACCGGAAAGACAGTATCACTGTTGGCTCTTATAGTTGCCTATATGCACAACAAACCAACAGAACTAACCAAACTTATATATTGCTCCAGGTAAAGGGGGGGGGGTATGAAACGTATTACTCTCCGGAAAATTAAAACAGTGTTTAAACATAACTTAGAATTGTCGTAGGAGGCTGAATTTTTGCATGCAAACTCAGAATTATGTATATTACATGCATTTTTTGGTTTAGAAGGAATATAAGCAAAGGTGCGCGCGCGCGAGCTTTTTGTAAAAAAAATGCGACTTTTTTGACAGTAAATCAACGTTAACTTCATTAATTGCACTTGAACATTTTTCCTGACACTCTTGAAACAAATATCTAACAAAATTTTATCCATTTTTTAATATTAGAACTATATACGATGTTTATATCTTTAGTCAAATCTAAAAAATGTTTATTTTGAACAAAATGTGAAGGATTTTTAATATTTAGAACAATCCCTGAGATTGAGAAGGTTCTAGAAGAACTAAGAAAGCTGTTAAACTATTACAGGAAAAGAACAGCAAGATATTAAAAATAAAAAATCCCTGAGTATATCATTACAGAATTAAGACATTCAGAGGTTTAAATTGAACTTTTGGCTTGTTAATTTCTTGAGATAATTATAATTCGTATCTTTTGTAGTCTAGCAAGAAAAAGTTTACTCCATTTTGATATTTCTGAAGGTCAGACCAATGAGAATCCATTTAAAATCTGTTATCGGCCAATAAGAGAACGCGGAAATATGAGTCCGCTGTTTTTTATGGATTAAGCACTTCAAATAATAAATTTAATTGTTGATATGGAGACAAACAAAAGTTCTGACCTTAGTCCTCTTTTTTGTTTTTAAGATCTTAAAATTTTGAAATATATCCTGATCAAACTTTGACCCAGAGATGAGGTTTCCGAACCTGTCAACTTTGTGGGGTTGGCTCTTAGTAGTAGGAAGAATCTTTGTATTCAACCAGAGGTACAGTTTTTATAATTATTTGAAACTTTCCTCAATTGAACTTTTTTGTAATTTATCTACACTTTGGAGAAAGCTATTATATACATACATACATACATATTACATGGTACATTAAGTTGTACGTTTTAAAAATGTTAGATATTTATTTAGGTGAGAGGAGAGAGGGATGGTAAGGTGGTTGATGCTAAATGCCATGCTCTCACAGCTCCTCATGTCAGGTAAACATATAGTTAATATCAGTTAAAAGATAACAATAATGCCGAATCCCTTCAAAAGATATCGTCGGATTTTTATTCGAACTAATTTTGTCTTTTAAAACAATTTTAGTAACTTTCCCTTTAAATAATTTTGATGAACTGTCCGTTCAAAAAGGTTTTTGTGAACTGTCTTTTTAAATAGTTTTGGTAAATTGTCCCTTTAAACAATTTTGGTGAACTTTCCCTTAAATAATTTTGGTGAACTGTTCCTTTAAATAATTCTGGAATTTTGGAAAACTGTTACTTTAAACTATTTTGGTGAAGTTAACCTTTACACAATATCGTCGGATTGTTACTTTAAACATAATTTTCGAATTGTCCCTTTAAACAATATTGTTTGATTGTCCCTTTAAATAGTATTGTTGGATCGTCCTAATAAACAATATTGCCGGATCATCCCTTTGAACAATATTATCAGATTGTCACTCCAAATAAAATTTTCGGATTGTCCCTTTAAACAATATTGTCGGATTATCACTTCAAACATAATTTTTGGATTGTCCGTTTAAACGCTATTGTCGGATCGTCCCTTTAAATGTATTGTCGGATCGTCCCTTTAAATGTATTGTCGGATCGTCCCTTTAAATAATGTTACCGGATTGTCTCTGTAAATAATATTGTCGGATCGTCCCTTTAAATAATTTCGTTTGATCGTCCTATTGAACATGTCGGTTCGTCCTTTTAAACAATATTGTCGGATCGTACCTATAAATAATATTGTCGGATCGTCCCTTTAAACACTATTGTTGGATTGTCCCTTTAAATAATATTGTTGGATCGTCCCTTTCAATAATATTGCCGGATTTTCCCTTAAAACAATATTGTCGGATCGTCTCTTTAGATAATATTGTTGGAATGTATCTTAAAACAATATTGTTTGATCGTCCCTTTGAATAAAATTGTTGGCTTGTCCCTTTAAGTACTGTGATGTGCATTGTTTGTATTATGCAGAGAACGGCATACTGATGATAGTTCTGTACCCGTGTGTTCCTTCTACGAACAGTTTGATGCAGGGGGCCGGGATACTATGCTTCCAACAGGTAAAAAGGGAGCGATAAATCATTAACCCTGTCCTCCCCTCCACAACCGACAATTATTTTTTACATAGAATTAAAAAATAATTCTATGCTTGAATTCCCAAAGGGTACTTTTATAAATGGTTATTGACCCACCTTCAATAAAGGGAAATTATTAAATACTGTTTTAAGGTGTATATAATCTGGAGGAGCTAAGAAGTTACTGTACAGAGAAGGGTTGGTGCCCGTATTACTTTGCAAGGTATTTTTATTCAATCATGTTCAAAAATAAAAAAAATTCAAAAAATTTGGAGCTAGAAATTTCAGAAATTTTATTTTATTGATCATTTAAAACTTATAATTTTTGTCTAATTCTTAATGTTTAGATGGGCCATTCAACAAGCAAACATTGTTGTGTACTCCTACCATTATCTTCTAGATCCAAAGGAACCACCAGAGATTACAATTTGTTAAGGTTTTATCAAAGAAACAACAAGAATTTTTGAAAGTTTTGACGTTCTCTAGGATCCAGATCCAATTGGCAAAATATCGAAGAAAAAAATGTTGCTCCTTACAATAATTAAAATTTTAAGAATCCTGCATAATAATTGAACGCTAAATCAAGTTTCTTTAAAAAAATTATCAAGAAAAAGAAGAAAATTGTTATATTGTTGTATTGTTTTATAATCCGGCCTTATCTTTGCAACCTGAAATCTCATATATTTGAGAACAGAATTGACAAAGACTAGATTCTTTTTTTTGGTAAAAGAAATTAGCTATAATTCTAAAAAAAATTATGATTCGGATCCATTTTTTAAATCAAAATTAAATGGATCATAAAAACGAACAGAAACATGGGCGTACTCAGGAATCCATAGATTTTACTGATATAGGAGGGGGTCTGAGACACCATACACCCCCCCCCCCCGTCCTGAGATCGCCTCTGTCTGGAAAATAAATTAATCCTGGTGTCCGTGTCCGCAGATTGCAGAAGTTGTCAGCAAAGAAATGGCGCGAAATTCTGTTGTTGTGTTTGATGAGGCGCATAACATAGATAACATCTGTATTGACAGCATGAGTGTAAGAATCTCAAGGAAACTGATTGATAGATGTCAGACATCTGTAGAGTCTTTAGAAGCGGAGTTGGAAAGGTAAACTTATATCAGATTGCTCTTCTCCCTTCTCCGTTCCCTCCACCTTCTCTCCTCCTCCACATTCTCCTCTCCTCCTCCACCTTCTCCTCTCCTCCTCCACCTTCTCCTCTCCTCCTCCACCTTATCCTCTCCTCCTCCACCTTCTCCTCCCCTCCTTCACCTTCTCCTTCTTTCCCTCTCCTAAGATTAAGATTCATCCATTTTTAAGTTATGATGTTTTTATTGATAATTAATGCTCATCAAATAATATGATTAGTTTTATAATTTGAAGGAAATCAAATCAAAACATATCAACACACTTACTAATTTTTATCGATATGTATACAAAACATATATTGAAATAAACAACTTATCAACTACGGTTGTAGCCGATTATATCATTATTATTTCGATTTGAATTTTTATTTATATCAAGCTTTTAAACGGCATGCAAACAAAGAGAAGCTGTTAATTTTTAAAAGCTTCTCTTTAAGTATTTGTAAAATTGCAATTCGAAATAAATTTGTTAACAAATACAACCAAATAAAAAAATCGTCTTCATTATATTGATATATTGAAGGGGGCTAGAAAGGGTAACTTATACCTTCTTGTATTAGGTTGAGGTTGGATAACTCCAGTAAGCTTGAAGGAGAGTACAGAGCGCTGGTGGAGGGGTTGAGAGAGGCGCAGGCAAGACGAGAAACCGAACAGGAACATCAACCATTTTAAAAATTAATATCTTTTTAACTTGACAGATTAAACGAATGGTTATTTATTAATTAATTATTTGATTAATTATTTATTATTGATTTGGTTTGTGAATTAATTTGTTGAATTGTTGATTAATTTATTGATTTGTTGGGTATCTGATTGATTTGATATCAATTTATTGCTTTGTTGATTTATTTATTAATTAGTTAAATCAAATTGTTAATTAAACGTTTGATCTGTGAATTAATAAATGTGTTTTCTTTTTAGATTAATTTTTATGTGATTGATTAATAAAAGCTATTATTTACTAAGAATAACTAAAAATGGTTTGAATTAGATTCTATCTAACCCTGCTCTTCCAGAACATATTCTTAACGAAGCAGTTCCAGGCTCAATCAGGTAGGAAAAGGGGGGGCCGGTGGGGGGGGGGGCAAATGAGGTTTGAAATGCAAATTTTAAAAAAACAGATTTTAAAACCTAGAATTTAGATAACTTAATTTCTCCTTTTTAAGTTTTTTTTTTGGCAAGTAATTTTTGAAAATAAGTAGTTGGGCTATATGTGCTTTTGAAGTGTGGTTAAATGTCAATGATATTCAACCCAAATGTTCTGAATTTATTTTTCAAATTTTGCTACCCTCCCCGTTTATCCTTGGTTAAAATCTTCTTGGAAACGAAATTGTTATCAATGTTATGAAATAAAATAGAAATATTTTATGATTTAGCAGCTTTAAGAGATATTGCACGGTACAATAACTAAAAAAATTTAAAAATTTAGAAAAGGAACACACTTCGTGAAATTTCTCCGACGTCTGATAGAGTACATGAAAGTTCGGTTACGGGTTCAGCATGTGGTTCAAGAGAGTCCTGCAGGATTTCTGGCAGATATAAATACTAAGGTTAGTTTTTTATCAAGAATGCTTTGTGAGTTTTAGTTTGAGTTTGATCAGATTTTTCTAAGAATTGCTTTCTCTGAGTAGAGATTGAGTAAAACTCATTATTTATGAAAAATATGAATAATATGCTTCTTTTTCATTGGTCAAATCTATAAAAATTGACAACTAATAGATTATTATTATATCATATTTGTGACGTTCCATGGATACATACCCAAGAAATTATATTAAAAAATGATTCTGGTGAAATCCGACTATTCCAAGTTGGAACAGTTCACATTATGAAAGGTTGCAAATAAGTGTTATGCTCTTGTTCTGTCTACCACTGTTTTTTATTTTTCTAATGTTAAAATGTTAAAAAAAAACATTTTAAAAGTAAAAATTGGTTCTTAAATTAAAAGAAATGCATGTGTTGTGATTGTTTCCTTAGTTTAGTTTGTTTGTTTACCAATTTCTAATGATTTTGCTCGTTTTTTCAAGTTGATACTACATTTAGGAACAGCATGTTTAATGTGCCCTGAGTTTTTTCAAGTTGATACTACATTTAGGAACAGCATGTTTAATGTGCCCTGAGTTTTTTCAAGTTGATACTACATTTAGGAACAGCATGTTTAATGTGCCCTGAGTTTTTTCAAGTTGATACTACATTTAGGAACAGCATGTTTAATGTGCCCTGAGTTTTTTCAAGTTGATACTACATTTAGGAACAGCATGTTTAATGTGCCCTGAGTTTTTTCAAGTTGATACTACATTTAGGAACAGCATGTTTAATGTGCCCTGAGTTTTTTCAAGTTGATACTACATTTAGGAACAGCATGTTTAATGTGCCCTGAGTTTTTTCAAGTTGATACTACATTTAGGAACAGCATGTTTAATGTGCCCTGAGTTTTTTCAAGTTGATACTACATTTAGGAACAGCATGTTNGTGCATGTTGTCAGTACAAAATAATTAAGTTAACATCAATATTGATCTATACGGAAAAGATCAATATAAAGAGCGTGTAAGAATGAATATTCTTCAACTAGTGTTAGAATTTCCATTCTTTAATGCTCAGAGCGTGTAAGAATATACATTCTTTCACGCTCTGACCGTGTAATAATTTCCATTCTTACACGGTCTTAGCGTTAAAGAATGAAAGTTCTACACCTACAGTGTAAGAATAAGCATTTTTAAACGTAAGGAAGCGAACAATGTTAAAATTGTTCCTCCTGAACCGTGTAATAATGGTAATTCTTACACGATAGGTTTACTACTATGGAACCGAACAGATATGATATAATAATAAATCTTACTGCGGGACAATGTGACCCTAAAAGCTGTGGAAAAGGAAGACATGAGACGTGAGACTCACCTATTGCGCAGTTTTAAAAGATCCATTTCATTTAAGAAGTTACTTTTAAGCTGCCTTGTAATACTTTTTGCACTTTCATCAAATTCACACAATTTTACTATAATGTCGTCTTCATGTTTATCAGTTTTTTGATTTGGACCTTTATTTAGGTGTGCATTGACCGGAAACCGTTGAGGTTTGCCGCGGAGCGCCTTGCGTCTCTACTGCGTACACTGGAGATATCTCATACCGCGGATTTCTCTCCAATTGTCGCAATCGCGCATTTTGCAACTCTAGTCGCTACATATACCAAAGGAGAGTAAAACAATTCAATAAAACATTCTTGCAGCTACATTTTTTACATTTTTAATAACTCTGAAAAATGAGATTTTCAATAATCGTGGAGCCGAGTTTCATGTACTCCATTCAGTCACTTACTCGTTAATAAAACTTCATTTGATCTCGTCTTTTTTAAATGAACATTTAACTCTGAAAAATAGGATTCACTATAATCATTGAGCCAAGTGAGGATCGCGTAGTTGGAGCCCAGAACCCTGTGATGCATCTCTCATGTTTGGATGCAAGTATTGCAATCCGACCTATACTAGGTAAATAAAGTATTATATTAGACTGGACTGGACTGGACTGGACTGGACGGGACGGGACGGGACGGGACTGGACTCTAGACACGACTAGACCTAGGCACGACTAGGCTCAACTAGACACGACAAGACACGACTAGAAACGACTAGACACGACCAGGCAGGACTGTTTTTTTTTTTTATGGAGGCCCTTGCGCATTTCTGCTTTAGAAACAATGGAGAAAATTGTCTGATTAAGACACTTTCCAAGGTAGAAAATTAAGTATATCAGAAAAGGGTTTGAAGGGTACCGTTTAAAATCGGACATGCCCCTGTTTTTAATGGGAGCTCACTTGAAATTACAACGTCGTCGTTCCCTTCAAAGTTTTATAATTTAGAACGGTTCCAGAGCGTTGTAATCACTAGTGGAACCCTCTCCCCCCTGGATATGTATCCTAAGATGCTGGACTTCCACCCTGTTATCATGGCCAGCTTCACCATGACCCTCGCCAGGCAGAACATTAATAATTTCAGAAAAACAACGTTCTCCTATTTTTAGTTATTGGAAACCTTAATAGGTTGAGACCTTGTGTAAATGTATTTTAAATCTTTTAACGAAACTTATTTTATTCAGTTTAAACTATATTTGAGATATTTAATAAATGTTCTCTGTTATTCAGGCAGTGTATTCTACCTATGATAGTTTCAAAGGTCAGTGCTTATATATTTTACCGCCCTTTGACCAACATTACCGACCTATGATTCCCCCAACAGAGGGAGGTTAAATAATATATCTATTCTTTGCCTGATTCTGAACCAGAGATCAGTTTTTAAAACGCTTCTTACTCAACCTTTTTCGTAAACATGTAACATACAAACACGATACAAAGAGTCGTATAAAGTATTTAGTTATGGTTGGGGTTGCATATTTGTTAAATGCATGGTAAATACATTATATAGTATGGAAACTTTTATTTCTAGGAGGGGGCACTGCCACTATCCCCTTGCCACTGATGGTGTAAACCTTTGATATTTCAAACTTATATAAGTTTATATAACAGAATGCATAGTTTTGAAATGCGTAAGGTCACGACATCGGTTTGCGAAGAAAAAGTGATTAGAGAATCAGATGTTGTGGCAAAAAAGACTAAATTCCTTAGTAACACAAACAGAACAGAGCCTAGGGATTAGATAATGGTCGATATGGGGGTCCAAATGATTTTCAAACATTTGATGTTAGAATGTGTTTAGCTGCATTTAATATTGATAATTACTTAATTCTAGTGAGAGATTAGGGGGGTTAGATTGTTTTTAATAATCTACATATTATCCAGATAATAATAATATATTCCAGGGAAACGACCAGGTGACTTTAACCTCCAAATTCGAGGCTAGAGATGATACAGCTGTTATAAGAAATTACGGAGCTCTACTAGCAGAGGTTGTATCTGTAGGTAGGTTACTTTGATATTTTCATATCTGATTTTTCACAGCTCTTTTCATGTTCAGTTTTTCTGTTGAGTTTATAGTTAAGCCTTCTAACAAACATTTTGTTTTTTTCGAAGGTCATTTAGGGGAGGCACCCATTATTAACTTTAAAATTTTGATCTGCTAATCGTAATTGATAAGTGCATTCTTTTGATATGGCACATGGTTGAAAATGTGTCGTGTGCTTCTGCTGGAACCTAATTAAACAATGAAATAGGTCAAGGGTGTGAAACCAACGATCAGTTACGACTTTGAACTCCTATCTGAAACTTGATAGGAGTTAATGATTTGAAACTGGGCTGTGGGAAAATATGAACAAAAAACCTCGTACTCTACTTTCTTTTACATTTCATTTTATAACTTGCCCTTGTTAGCTTAGTACCTGATGTTATGTGTTATCTTAGTACCTGATGTTATGTGTTATCTTAGTACCTGATGTTATGTGTTATCTTAGTACCTGATGTTATGTATTATCTTAGTACATGATGTTATGTGTTATCTTAGTACCTGATATTATGTGTTATCTTAGAACCTGATGTTATGTGTTATCTTAGTACCTGGTGTTACGTGTTATCTTAGTACCTGATATTATGTGTTATCTTTTTACCTGATGTTATGTGTAATCTTAGTACCTGATGTTATGTGTTATCTTAGTACCTGATGTTATGTGTTATCTTAGTACCTGATGGTGTTGTATGTTTCTTCACCTCCTACCTATATATGGAAAATGTTGTGGCAGCTTGGTATGAACAGGTCAGTTACATTAACACATTAATAATATGCATTTGTTAACATCAAAATTTGAAATGTTTTATTTTACGTTCATAAATACTGAATAGATGGTTTAATTTTCTCTTTATAAAAGATTTTTTAAATTTACATCAATATAATTTTCATTAGATAAGTATTTCATAATTAGATCTCCATTTCAATTTTATGTTGAAAAAAAAGAGATTTTTGATTTAAGAAAGGAATTTTTGTCAATCCCAATATCTTTGCAACCCGATGTCGTTTGAAAAATCAATGGTTTACACCATCAGATTGCTAAGATATAGATATCAGAAAACTCGAGTGCGTTGGAAAATAGTCAGTTCTTTTATTTGGAACCTCAATAGCTTTGGTTAGTGTAGGATGATGTAAAATGTTTGTTAATTTTTAGGAAGTTATAGAACAGATTCAGAAGCATAAACTTCTCTTTATTGAAACACAGGAATCAAATTGAGAATTTTTAAGCAATCTCTAGCTCACACATTTTTGGTTTGTTATTCGAGACAATAATTTAAGTATGCATAAAATTCTTCTTTGTGCTTAAAGTAATGACAATTAATAAAAATATAATGAAAAGTACTTGTTTTATACAATTTAAATTTAAATTAAATTTGAAATCTTTGTCTTGGTTCTACCTTACTAGTATCTAGTGATCCTAGCCGGGGAGGATTTTAATTAAAGATTTGGTTTGGTTTGCGCAGGATGCCGCGGAAACGAGTTTAGCTCTCATTAACTACATAAAGGTATCCTTTGCAACTGTAAGATTTCATGATTTGGCCGTTTTGATTTTGCTGAAGATCGTATGAAATCGAATCTTAATGTAAATTTCATTATTTCAGTCGTTAGAAGAGATTGAATAGAAACGAACTGGTTTTTGCACTTGATTCGATTTGATATGATTTGATTTTAATTCGATTGATTTGGATTGATTTTGACTGATTTATTGATCTGGATTGATTTGGACTGATTTGTTATGATTTGATTTGAACTGTTTTGAAACGGGGTTGATCTGAATTAAATTTATTTGATTTTAACTGCGGTATAATATTAATTTTAACACAGTAAAGCACTGTTCAATTTACATTGTACACTGTACACTGTACAGTGCATGTACGGAGCACAATGTATGTAAGTGAACTATCCAGGCTTGTGAGAATGGTCGAGGTGCTGTCCTCCTGTCTGTTGCACGTGGAAAAGTAAGCGAAGGGGTGGATTTTGATCATCATTTGGGTAGAGCTGTGCTTATGTTTGGTGAGTTCTTTGTTGATATTTAATACTTCAAAAACATTAAATCCAAAAATATTTAGTTGTCAATAAAGATTACTCAAACTCAAACATGAAGAGTTGACTGAAAGAATGTAGTTTGCTCAACTCCAATGTACAATTCATCGATTTAATATTCATGGATATAGTTATTAGTTATGGCATTGTGAGTCTCTTTTTTTGTATTGAAATGTATTAACAAGGTTGAAATATTTAAAACAATTAAGATACCGCAATCTGTTTCCAAAAATCTCTCCATTGGGTTTAACTACAAGAATGTAAAAATAAAGATATCCCCTGGACCAGACGTATCGGAAATATAACGTTTAAAGATACTGCAATGTTGTTTGTCCCTGTTCTACTGTTACAACCCAATAAATCAATCAATTATAGGAATCCCTTATGTCTACACACAGTCAAGGATACTCAAGGCTAGACTAGAATATCTCAGGTTACAATGAAAACCACTCAAAGGGACTAGAGCCTAGGGANCCCTTTATCTGAGTAACTATTAAACAAATATTGTCGTTTTTCTGTCTTAAGTGTTTATTTTTATATATTTTAAAAATTTCCTTTATTATCTCATCTGAAGAAATCCTTAAATCAAGTTAACAGATAAGTAATCAATTTTCAGAAGAAAAACAAGGACATCCTTTTCATCCTTGACCAGATAAAGGCTTCAAGGGTACCTTTGTGAATCAGACATGCCACTCCACAGATTGATAGTAACTTAAAATTACTTACCTTAAAGTTACATTATTTTTGGTATTCTTAATAAGATTGGAAAGAGAAGAAATCTGGTAGATATTTTAAAAATTTATGTCTTCTGAGAAAATGTTTGTTTTAATCCAAAATCCAATTGCAACGAGTTTAACCAAGAAAACCATTTGATCAGCTTTTCATAATGTGGTCTACCTCTTTTATACCTCTTATAATTTTAAAAGCACAAAGAAGGCAGACCACATTTAGGAAATGCCATCATAAGAATTGTTTCATGGTAATTGTTTTAAGAATCTTACCCTTTGTCATCAAAAATCAATCAAAGATCAAATCTTTAAGTTGTTTCTCCATTTGTTGTTATTTTATCTTATGTTATTCAGGGATCAATTCCAAATCCGCGAAAACGATTTCTTGACATTTGATGCTATGCGGCATGCTGCGCAGTGCCTGGGCCGAGTTTTGCGCGGGAAAACTGATTATGGAATTATGATACTGGCGGACAAGAGATTTAGTCGACAGGATAAGAGAGGGAAACTTCCAAAATGGATTCAGGAACCAAGTCATGTTAAATTTGAAATTTATTTGAACGCACAGGTGCCACAGAGAATAAGGAGCGTTATTGAAAGAAAAAAAGATGTTAAAGTAATGAAAATAATGCTAATAATACTTGATCAGATGCTAAAGGTATTTTTCAAGGGGGACTTTTTTCCCAAAGGCAAGGTGCATCTGCCGCGTAAACTGTCGCGTAATTTCAAGNACCTTGATCTAAGCCAATAAGGACAATTTTATTTATTATTTTATGTATTTTTACAAGATTCTTAAACAAAAATATTGGATAGAAAAAAGTCGAAAACAATATTTTATTTTATCCAAACCATTTGTTAACGTTCTGGAATCTTTTATTTATTTAATTAATGTTCTGATGACTTGGTTTTATATCAGGAGCACCTGAAGGACTCCATGTGCAACCTGTCCACAGAGGAGGCAATACAGATCTGCAGAAAGTGGTTGAAGATCATGGCTCAGCCCTTCACTAGGAAACCAGCAAATAATAAACTTGCGTTATGGAATCCAATTTTTTAAATAAGAGAAACAGAACATAAATTGTCATTTGTCATGGGTTAAAGTTTGGTTTACATATTACATGATTATTATTTCTTCAAATTTAAAAATTAAACTAACATTTTCAGTACATTTAAGTGGATACTTCTATCATGAAGTCATGAAAGGAATTTTAAATATTTAATAATCCCTCAGGGACTTATTTTTTTAAAAATGAGCACATTTTTATTGAATATTAAACATTATAATATGCATTTGTGACTTGTCTCTATATTGTATTTCCAAGTTAGCAATGTTTTCTTATATTTGCTGTTATTGATCAGAGAGGATCAGCTTGGGGTCAGCTTGCTCACAATAGAACAACTACAAACTGAGGAAATGCAGAAGAAGATTATGGATAAGGTTCAGCAGGGCTGAAATAATCACGAAAAAGTACCAGAAAATCCGCGAAAAAGTTCCAGTTAATTTACGTTAAAAGTTCCAGTTAATTCACGTAAAAAGTTCCAGTTAATTCACGTAAAAAATTCCAGTTAATTCGCGTAAAAAAGTTATATTCACGAAATGGGATCGGAAAATCCACAAACATTTCTACTGTCATCCTTTCACACCCAACTGATAATTCATGCCAATGTCAGATCATCTAAAATATTTTTATTTTTGTTTAATTTGTTTATTCCGCATGTGATAACATTTTTTAGATTGTTTTATTTTTCTATTTTTCAATAAAAATATAATTATTTACATAAAGCTTATTTATAACTTATCTAATGCAATATTACCTAATAGATAACTAATAGTGAAGCTTGTTATTGGAAATAAGTATTCTTGTATTAGGAACAGTAATTTGCTCAATTATTTATTCATGGTAGTAGGGAAAGGGGGAATATGGACGAAAAGAAAAAGTAAAATTTGGGAGGGAAAGTTTTTGAACCTGCATAATCATATATATATATATTTACTATGCTTTTATCTTCTATCTAAATTGTGAACATGATCTTTTTGTTTACATTTTAAAACAAAGAAGAAAAATATTTTGCGGATTTTTAAAAAACAATTGGCGGATTTTAAAGAATTTAAATTTTTTTACATAATTAAAAACCTTCAAAACACATTTTTTTTCATTTTTATTATTCATAAACCTTCCCTGTGGTCACGTGATGTCCCACAAAAAATTTGGGCCCGATCGGTTCAGCCGTTTAGACGTTAATTGGACACAAACAAACAGACAGACAAGCCTAATTTATATATAGATATGTATACATTCATATACATGTATAGGTAGAAATAGTGAAAATAACAAACATTTATCTGGATTTTTTATCCCAAAAACGACTGAACCGATCAGGCCAAGATCTATTGGCGGGTGGAAATTGAAAAATAATTACGGGAAACTTAATCAACTTAACGAAAAATCCCGAGAAAATTTTTGTTTTATTGAGTGAATTGAGTACAATGAAAATCAACAAGCAATAGATTAAATTGTTTAAAGGAAGATGGTGCGAAGCACTTGATATGCCTAGCTAATAAAAAAATTACACAAATTAATAGAAAGCAATAAAATATGGTAGAACTTGCTGGCCAATTTCTAGGTCCATTCTTCTTTAGTAAATTAAATCTTGTGCAGCGTTTTATTTATCTATATAATAAAACATGACATTTTTGCCAATAGCCGGCCGAATTGCTGGACCGATTGGGCTGACATTTTTTGTGGACACTCATGGGTGGCCGAGGGGTATTACAGACTAAAAAAAATCGGAACTGTGAAATACTATTCTTGTATTATCCTATGTTTATTGGGACACCCTGTATCTATATAATCTGTAGAATGAAAAAATATTCTTGTACCATCCTATCTGTATAATCTGTGGAACACTATTCTTTTATTATCCTATCTGTATAATCTGTGGAATAAAAATTCTTGTGTTTTATCATCTGTATAATCCATGGAATAGATATTCTGGTATTATCCTATCTGTATTATCTGTGAAATACTAATCTTGTATTATCCTATCTGAATAATCTGTGGAATAGAGGAATATTCTTGTACAATCCTATCTGTGTAATCTGTGGAATAAACGAAAATTCTGGATAATAACATGGATTCCTTTATTATTAGATTAGGAGTGAGGAGTAGAGAGAAGAGATGGATTCTTTGTTTAGCACAATTTATTTATCATATAATATATATGTAGATACACAAATATAAATAATATACATTAATCCAATATATAATCCTTAGTGTTTATTTTTTTGTTCCTATTTATAAATATACATCCACCCTAAAAATAATATTTTTTTCATTTTNTCTTATTTTCATTTTAATGTAATTTTTAACGCCTTATTTTCATTTAATATAATGTTTAACGTCTTATTTTCATTTTAAAATAATTTTTAACGTCTTATTTTCATTTTTATGTAATTTTTAACGCCTTATTTTCATTTAAACATGATTTTTAACGTCTTATTTTCGTTTTAAAATAATTTTACGTCATATTTTCAATTTAAAATAATTTTTAACGACTTATTTTCATTTTAATATGATTTTTAATGTCTTATTTTCATTTTAATATAATTTTTAACGTCTTATTTTCATTTTAATATAATTTTTAACTTCTTTTTCAATTTTAAAATGTGCGTGAAAAACATCTCCTGTTTACGAAGAACCTTTGTGGCAAAATGAGAGGTTTCGGTAGTCATGTTTATCATGCTAAAAGGCTAGAAGCAACAAAAGGACTTTTTTTCGGTCAAGATACGACTTTCTACGCGGCATTCTTTTATAAATTAGATATTGATACATTTGATTAAAGGAATGCACAGAGTTACCCACAAAAGATGAGACTATTTTACGGACTTTATACTGCCTGTCTCCATATATTCATGATTCCCTGCAGCTGGAAAGTGTTACTATTTTTCCAAATCATGTAAAAAGTCATAAACAGACCGTTTTCAAGGCAGAAGCCGTAATTCAACCTTGGAATACCCATATTTTAAGAGTTTTAAGTCGTCTTTACAGTCGCATCCTTAGAAGGTAACCCTATATTTCTGGCCGGACCTTCTTCCTTCTTATAGAAAAATATTGATAGGCACTAAGAACGTTGTACTGAAAATCTAAAAATTATTGATAACGAAATTTGCATAATTTTAAGGAAAATTCAGCTCAAAGGTAGTAGGGTCATTTGACATTATGTTTACATACAGTTCACGATATACTATCAAATGAACTGAACTTTTCCTTACTTTTAAAAGAAGGTTAAGCTGCGTACTTAATGCAGTTTAGCGTGTACTTTTTGTACTTTTAACATGCACTGAACTTCTTTAAAAAGAAACAAATCATCCCAAACCAACAACTTTCTAACCAGAAATACTGGTTAGAAAGTTTGGTTTTGATCGGTGGAAATACAGTGCAAGATAAACATACAATAACAAAAAACATGTGAGAGTTATAAGATTCTATGAACGTACAGCGATAACCAGAAAACTTTGGAACAGAAAGTCGACTTTTAGACTCAAGTTATGACTTTACAAAGTCAAATAAACATGAGACACAGCAAATGTGCAGTTTAAAATTACCCATTTCTCTTGATAGGTGATTTAATAACTTAATACAGTGAAACCCTTAATAACGAATACATCGAAAGAATTCATCAAATGTCGTATNGGTTTACATTAACCAATTAATTCATCGCTATTTATTTATTTTCGCAAATACTGAAATTTACGTAATACAGTATAAAACTTATTGAAAAATTGTCAAGACGACATTTGATCAATTCTTCAGATGTATTCGTTATTAAGGGTTTCACTGTAGTAAAGTTTTTTCTCTGTGGCAACAACAAATGCACTTCAATTTTGTTTTAATGTCGTCTTCCTACTCTACAGTTTTCTAGTTATCCCTGTAGGTTACTTCATTATTTCTACTTTAAACCCTTTGCTGTGAAGTGTGTACGCGGGGTCCCAGATGTCCTCTTTTTAACTTCTGCTACAGGGTGTCCCACGTAACGTGACAGTAGCAAGACGACTCGTAGGTTAAAGAATATTCTCCATATACCCTCTGTTTAACCTCAACTGTGTACGGAGGATGCCAAATGTCCTCTCTCTAACTTCTGTTATGTATGGAGGTTCAAAATATCATCTGTATAACTTCTGCTGTGTACGGAGGATGCCAACTGTTCTCTATTTAACCTCTGCTGTGTACGGAGGTTACAAATGTTCTCTCTTTAACCTCTGCTGTGTACGGAGGTTACAAATGTTCTTTCTTTAACCTCTGTAGTGTACGGAGGTTAAAAATGTTCTTTCTTTAACCTCTGCTGTGTACGGAGGTTAAAAATGTTCTCTCTTTAACCTCTGCTGTGTACGGAGGTTACAAATTTTCTCTCGTTAACCTCTGGTGTGTACGGAGGCTACAAATGTTCTCTATTTAACCTCTGCTGTGTACGGAGGTTACAAAAGGTTCTCTATTTAACCTCTGCTGTGTACGGAGGTTACAAAAAGTTCTCTGTTTAACCTCTGCTGTGTACGGAGGTTACAAATGTTCTCTGTTTAACCTCTGCTGTGTACGGAGGTTACACATGTTCTCTCTTTAACCTCTGCTGTGTACGGAGGATGCAGGACGAAGAGTTAATTTTTCTTGTTTATCCAGGAAAAATACCTGGAAGAAAAATATTTTCATATTATATACAGTGGTCAGCATATATATCAATGCAGATGTCGGTTACTGAAGTGTTGATATAAAATTTCAGTACCTGGACTGGAAATTCATCGGTATATGTTAATGTAGCATTTTAGTAACCGATACTATAATATGTAAATATATAATAGCTATTGTCTTGTATAACTATTTCAGTTACCGATACTATATTAAAATATATGCTACAGGGTGGCCCAATAAACATGGGAATTAAATGACGACTTCTATATGGTCTTTGTTTCCATGCGGGATTATTTCGTAAACTAAATTTTGCAGTATCACAATTTAAACATTTAACACCAAAAACTACTAGTCTCGGGGTTTCCAAATTGTGGTCTACCATTTTCAAAATTGACGGAGATATTAGAATTTGTCCAGATTCCAGTTTATTAAAAATCAACAAAATTGTTCAAATGCTTGATATCTCCATCCATTTTGAAGATAAGAAGGTAGACCACATTTTGGAAATCTCATTAGACTTTCAATCTCTTGTTGATGCACTTTATGTCATTTATCAATTATCGGAAATCAAAGACGATATTTAAGTCGTCTCTCTATTCTCATGTTTATTGGGACACCCTGTAGCTTCTGTCTTGTATAACTATTTCAGTAATGGATAATATATTAAAATATATGCTGCTTCTGTCTTGTATAACTATTTCAGTAATGGATAATATATTGAAATATATGCTGCTTCTGTCTTGTATAACTATTTCAGTAATGGATAATATATTGAAAAATACGCTGCTTCTGTATTGTATAACTATTTCAGTAATGGATAATATATTAAAATATATGCTGCTTCTGTCTTGCATCAACATTTCAGTAAACGATTTTGTATTAATAAATATTCTGACCACTATATGCATAGTTTAAATCATATAATTTGAACTTTCTGCCCTTTTTGTTCATTATTTATTCACTTTTCCTTATTTCTATTTCCCCTCTTCCTTCCTTCCTTGCTGTCTCAGATCTGACGTTTTCTTTTTAGAAAATTTAAAATTTAAATGTTAACTCACCTTACATATAGAGCAAAATAATACTAAGAGTATGAACCCGGAGCACACTAGAAAGGTCACAGGATACAGCGCCATCTTGTGTACTGTGTCAGCAGAAGGAAAATGTATGCTTTTTCTGTCCTCTGGTTTTAGAAATAAATCCATCTTTATAATTAGGGGAAAAATAAAGGACATGAAAAAGAGAAGAAGAAAAAAATGTTCCATACATACCCACAATGGATGAGACTTTAAAGACGACTAAAAGCAAAAAAAGATACGACGATTTAAAACTTGACATTTGGTTTCTGCTTTCAATTTTGATGGTGTTTTGGCCTGTAAGGAACCCTGAATTTAGTTTTGGTCTGTAAGGAACACTGAATAATTATTTTTGGCCTGTAAGGAACCCTGAATGTAGTTTTGGCCTGTAAAGAACCCTAAATGTAGTTTTGGCCTGTCTGTAAGGAACACTGAATGTAGTTTTGGCCTGTAAAGAACCCTAAATGTAGTTTTGGCCTGTCTGTAAGGAACACTAACTGTAGTTTTGGCCTGGAAGGAACCCTAAATTTAGTTTTGGCCTGTAAGGAACCCTGAATGTAGTTTTGGTCTGTAAGGAACCCTTAATGTAGTTTTGGCCTGTAAGGAACCCTGAATGTAGTTTTGGCCTGTAAGGAACCCTGAATGTAGTTTTGGCCTGTAAGGAACCCTAAATGTAGTTTTGGCCTGTAAGGAACCCTAAATGTAAAGATGTGAAAAAATGAATAGATTTTTTTTAATTGTTGTTAACGTACATTAGTTGTTTTTGGTCCTAATTTTGGTCAACTTTAAACACGTTGTAATAAGTATGAAAATAAAATGTAAAAGTTCAAATATTTGTATGCAATTCCATGCATGCAGCTTATAGAACTATTTAAAAATGTGTTAAAAAAATCCTCCTTAAAAACACAAAACAAATCAAATTAAAAGATATTTATTGCATTTTATATTTATTTCCTGATATATCTCTGACTAGCTGGCCGGTCGGCTGGGTCTGCTCCTATCAGACAGATCTAAACAATGGGTTATTAGAAGAAAACAACTGAACTCAATCACTAATTTTTTAATCACTATACAGTAAAACCCTTAATAACGAATACATCAAAAGAATTCATCAATTCATAATGGAATGTTGCAGATATTTAGTTTTTTAATTAAATGATTATATGTATNACATAAACAAACAAAATGTGAACATAGCAGACGAAACTCTTACAGATTACAGCTTTCTCAGTTGGTATCACTGTACTAAATATAAGAATTATTTAAAAAGACGATATCGAATTCCTCACTGAATTCCCATGTTTTTTGGGACACCCTGTAGTATAAAACTCATTGAAAAATTGTCAAGACGACATTTGATAAATTCTTCCGATATGTATTCGTTATTAAGAGTTTCTTTGTATATGTTTTTATAACCTTATGACGTGAACCAACTGATTTTAAAAAGTTTAACTATTTGATCTCGCAAAATAAATAATAGTTGACACGTCAAAGGTCTTTAACATCAGGTCCCTTCCTCTAGCTATTGCTATGACTGATGACATGATGGAGATCTCAACGTTCGGCTCAAGTTACAATAAACCATAGATTAATTAAAATAACAGATAGAACACTACATGTCGTCTTTTCAAGATTTTTCAGAATTTCGTTCACAAAAACCCTGAGGCAGAAGCCCAAAGAAGTTACGAGTAGTCGGAGTAAAACAGGCTCTCTCTCTCTCATGTAATAAATCTATGCATTAAACACGCATTACAACATTATCAAGTATATTTTTAGATAATCATGGTATATTTTCTTATTCTTTTAACGATGTATGCATCTCTATGTATAAATTTGTATAAAGTAGTTGTTTGTTTGTTTGCTTATATGTCCGATCATAACTCAGGAAACCCATGATCAATTTGCCTCAAGTTTTGATTGAGGAACTCAGAAGAACCATGGAAATGTTCTTATGGTTGTTTTTAAGATTCTAAGTTGAGTGGGTCTACTTTTGTAGGGAAAAATAGTTAAAATCGTAATTTAAGAGCAAGTACGGGTAAACGGCCGGAATAAATATAAGAAACTTGGACAACGCGGAGTCCCATGCTATTTTTTATAGTATATTGAATATTCACACAAAGTTTAGAATTTTTTTAAAGACTAATGGCGAGTGTGGGTGCGGAACGTTCTGAATTCCTAGATTTATTGTATTTTATGAAGGAAAAAATCTTTAAAATTAGGATACCTTGCAGCTGATGAGGGTTATGATTGAGAGTAGGAAAAGAAGAAGGAAAGCTAAGTAGAGGATCAGTGCAGTATAACTGATAGAGATATAACTGGAAAACATCTTTATTTTCTCAACAAAACTTAAGATCATTTTAGGATCATTTAAAATATTCTATGAATAGACACCATACTTTGAATCTGATATGTTTTCCAGATGATTTTCATGGTAAATAACGGTAAATAAGAAGTTTAATGGCACTAACTTGACATCAGCATTTTTCCAAAATATATCTTTTATTTCTTATTCTTTTATATTCTGGAACCAGAAGATTCTGTCCTAGAAACCAATATATTCTGCTCCTATTGAACCTGAAAACAATGAATCCTGCTCCAATTGAATCTGGAACCACTATATCCTGCTCTTATTGATCTGGAACCAATGTATCCTGCTCTTATTGATCTGGAACCAATGAATCCTGCTTCTATTGAATCTGAAACCAATAGTTCCTGCTCCTATTGAACCTGGAACCAATATATCCTTCTCCTATTGATCTGGAACCAATTTATCCTGCTCCTATTGATCTGGAACCAACGAATCCTGCTCCTATTGATCTGGAACCAATGAATCCTGCTTCTATTGAATCTGAAACCAATAGTTCCTGCTCCTATTAAACCTGGAACCAATATATCCTTCTCATATTGATCTGGAACCAATATATCCTGCTCCTATTGAACCTGGAGCCAACATATCCTTCTCCTATTGATCTGGAACCAATGTATCCTGCTCTTATTGATCTGGAATCAATGAATCCTGCTTCTATTGAATCTGAAACCAATAGTTCCTGCTCCTATTGAACCTGGAACCAATATATCCTTCTCCTAAAGATCGGGAACAATTTATCCTGCTCTTATTGAACCTGGAACCAATAAATCCTGCTCCTATTGATATGGAACCATTATATCCTGCTCCTATTGAATCTGGAACCAATATATCCTGCTCCTATTGAATCTGGAACCAATAGATCCTGCTACCATTCATCTGGAACCTATTGATTCTGATCCTGTTTAACCATGAATTTCTGTTTCTAAAATGATAGAAGTTGGAACCGATGATGTTCACTCCACCCCAAACAATTTTGATTTTTTGTTTTTTAAGAATTCTGTGTTTAGCGTTTTTCTCAGTGCTCATCCATATTCTCTTTCAACCTTCTCTCCTGTACCCCAACCATGAGCAAGAGAACCTTCCTCTTCCTGAACCCTGAGATAAACTGACTTTGTTTACACCTACCTCGTAAATCTTTAGTTTCTCACAATATTCAATCCTTTCCAAATTTAGTTTGAAAATTTCTATTTTATTAAAAAATGTCTGACCTGAGAATGAGACTAGGTTGGTGAGCAGGGTAGGTAGAGAAGATGTATCCCTGTATCCCGGTATTCTAGACCTGAATAGATTCAATTCTTTTTCTTTCTGCTTAATTGGAACCTGTATCTATCAAACTAAAGGAGATTAATCTTGGACCATTAGTCACCCCCCCCTTGACCATTTATCACCCCCACCCCCAGCCCATTTATCACCCCCCTCCCCCATTACCATTTATCAGCACCCTATCATCAGCCTCCCCACCTTTTAACCCATTTGTCAGTTCCACAAAGTGTATTGTTAGAAATGAAACATACAGTACTGTATCCAGTGAAGAACTCAACTGACTCAAGTGCATTTAGAACTAAACTGTACAGCACTGTATCTAGAAATAAGCAGTACTGTACTAATGAAGCTCTTGACCCGATACTGGGGACCTTAGCTAGTAAGTAATTAAGTAAGTATCTAGAACTAAACTGTACAGCTCTGTATCTAGAATATACAGTACTGTATCTAGAAATAAACAGTACTGTATCTAGAATAAACAGCTCTGTATCTAGAATAAACATTACTGTATCTAGAAATGAACAGTACTGTATCTAGAAATAAACAGTAATGTATCTAGAAATAAACAGTATTGTATCTAGAAATAAACAGTATTGTATCAAGAACTGAACTGTACAGTTCTGTATCTAGAAATAAATAGTACTGTATCTAGAAATAAATAGTACTGTATCTAGAAATAAACAGTACTGTATCTAGAAATAAACAGTATTGTATCTACAGTATTGTATCAAGAACTGAACTGTACAGTTCTGTATCTAGAAATAAACAGTATTGTATCTAGAAATAAACAGTTCTGTATCTAGAAATAAACAGTATTGTATCAAGAACTGAACTGTACAGTTCTGTATCTAGAAATAAATAGTACTGTATCTAGAAATAAACAGCACTGTATCTAGAAATACACAGTACTGTACCAAGAACTTAACAGCACAGTTCCATATCTATAACTAAACAACTTGCATAGTCCTATATTTATAACTTTACAGTACTATAATTAGAGTATCTAGTACTGCACAGTGCTGTATCCAGAACTGTACAGTACTATCATAAGAACTGTACGGAACAGTATCTAGAACTGTACAGAACAGTACTAGATACTGTGCAGTACTGTATCAAGACTGTATATTATTGTATCTAGAACTGTACAGTACTGTATTTATAACTGTTTCGTACTGTATCTAGAGCTGTACAGTACCTTATCTATAACTGTGCAGTACTGTATTAAGACTGTATATTATTGTATCTAGAACTGTACAGTACCTTATCTATAACTGTGTAGTACTGTATCTAGAACTAAATTGAAATGTATCTAGAACTGTACAGGACTAAATTTTTGAACTGTACAGTATTGTATCTAGAACTGTAGAGTACTGTATCTAGAACTGTAGAGTACTATACCTAGAACTGAATTGAAATGTATTTAGAACTGTACAGGACTGAATTTTTTAATTGTACAGTACTGCATCTAGAAAGAACTGTACAATACTGTATCTAGAAAGAACTGTACAGTACTGTATCTAGAAAGAACTGTACAGTACTGTATCTAGAAAGAACTGTACAGTACTGTATCTAGAACTGTAGTGCACTGTATCTAGAACTGAACAGTACTGTATCTAGTACTGTACAGTACTGTATCTAGAACTGTACAGTACTATATCTAGAGCTGAACTGAAATATGTGGGAGCCAAACTAAAGTTGAAGTTTACTTCTTTTCACTCCATTAAGTTGAATCAAGTGGAAGTAACCGCTGAGATAAACTGGTGTTAGGAGGACAGATTACAACGATAGGACAGGACTAGTATATCTGCATAACACTGATTGAACAGGTCAAGTATATCTGTATCACACTGATAGGACAGGACTACTATTGCTGTATCACATTGATAGGACAGGACTAGTATAGCTGTATCACACTGATAAGACAGAACCAGAAAAGCTGTATCACATTGATGGGACAGAACTAGTATACCTGTTTCATATTGATGGGACAGGACTAGTATAGCTGTATCACATTGATGGGACAGGACTAGTTTAGCTGTATCACATTGATGGGACAGGACTAGTATACCTGTATCACATTGATGGGACAGGACTAGTATACCTGTATCACATTGATGGGACAGGACTAGTATACCTGTATCACATTGATTGATATTTTCAAGTCAAATGGTCTCTCTATACGTATTTCTTGAGTATGGAACCGTCGTATTTAGTGAAAGATTATGTACAATATATATATATATATATGCTCTTGAGGGTAAAACGCAAACTTCGTATATATATGAGTTAAATGACCAAAATGCTAGTAATTTTGCATTTTAGGCAAAAGGTTGTCTTCATTAAGTAAAGTTACACACGACTTTAAGACTGCGACATGTTTTGACCTGTCTGTGTGATCTGTGGTTTGGACCTTCCAATAGATCGAATGATAAAGAGCTGAAGGGATAAGAAGAAAAAAGAAAAGAAAAAACAAGAATGTAACATTAATTAAAAATAGAAATTAAGAAAAATTAAGAAAAAGAGTGGTGAAGATGCAAATAGTAATACCTACTGTAGAGACAACATTCATATGAATGTCTTATTTTTTAACTTAAATTCAATTTTTTTTTATTTCCCCCAGAATTAAAATATTTACTTTCCCGAGTCACTTGGATACCCTTTAAACCAATGTCTGATTAAAACTGATGGAGATATATATTTTTTTAATCTAAAAATGACCCAATTATCTTATTTTAAGATTTAAAAACGACGATATCTTCTTCAATGTTACTCAGATAAATGTTCAACGGTTGTTGTGAACCGGTTGGCGGTTAAACAGCACTTTAAAAATTAGACTCATGCTTTGAATAGCGTCGTTTCTGTAAAAGCTTCTTTCTTTACGAACATCCCAATATTTCAACTGATGGATAATGTTTTCAAGGTTCTCAGCTCTCCATTAAATGTCCATAAAGATTGTATTATTTAGTTACTTCATGATGGATCTTCTCAGAAACATTTTTTAAAGAAAAGAAAACACTTTCTTATCCTTACTTTAGGTCTATAACAGATACTGACTTTAGGTCTATAACAGATACTGATACTTTCTTATCCTTACTTTAGGTCTATAACAGATACTGATACTTTCCTATCCTTACTTTAGGTCTATAACAGATACTGATACTTTCTTATCCTTACTTTAGGTCTATAACAGAAAATGATACTTTCCTATCCTTACTTTAGGTCAATAACAGATACTGATACTTTCTTATCTTTACTTTAGGTCTATAACAGATAATGATACTTTCTTATCCTTACTTTAGGTCTATAACAGATAATGATACTTTCTTATCCTTGCTTTAGGTCTATTACAGATAATGATACTTACTACTAGGACTACTAGGACTACAAGGACTACAAGGACTACAAGGACTAATAGGACTACTAGGACTACTAGGACTACTAGGACTACTAGGACTACTAGGACTACTAGGACTACTAGGACTACTAGGACTACAAGGATTACTAGGACTACTAGGAATACTAGGAATACTAGGACTACTAGGAATACTAGGACTACTAGGAATATTAGGACTACTAGGACTAATAGGACTAATAGGACTAATAGGACTAATAGGACTACTAGGACTACTAGGACTAATAGGACTAATAGGACTAATAGGACTACTAGGACTACTAGGACTAATAGGAACACTAGGACCACTAGGACCACTAGGACTACTAGGACTATTAGGACTACTGTGCATGTTGAGGATGAACCTGGGATTCAAAGCACAAAAGTTTTTACATTAGAAATCACAATTAAATATCTTTTGTACCGCGTACATAAAGTTCATTCCTTTCATTTTCTCTCAGTGTTCGGCCAATCAGAAGGAAACAAAATCTGCTCTCGGCCAATCAGAAATCGCAGAAATACAAATGTTTTTACGGATTAACTTAGTCGCTTTAAATTTAAATTTTCCATTTTCAGGTTTTATTTTTTGTACAAAAGTTGCGACCTCTTCATTCAACATCTGAATAAGAAAAGTTTTTTCGGTAAAACAAGATATCTTTTCACTTTTTTGATTAAAACTATCTAGCAAAATTACACTGCCAATCTCAAATTGAACCAGAAGTTAAGTGTACTGTAGTTTTTTAAAAATTATTATTGTTATTAAAACTACTCATTTACCTACACTAGCTAAAGTGCTCCACGTTGCCCGTGGAATACATTTTTTTTAAAATAAATAATATTTTGAAGAAAATTTTTTTGAATATTAGCCTATGTTACCCTCAGGATACCCCTGGGTTCCCTCAGCAAATATCAGCCCATTCGGTCCAGTCGTTTGGCCGGCTATAGGGAACATATATAGTATATACATATGTTCCTGTCTCTCTATCTATCTATCTATCTATTAGATCACTTGTCTATTTGTCTATCTATCTATCTATCTATCTTATTACTTGATTATTTGTCTATCTATCTATCTATCTATTAGATCACTTGTCTATTTGTCTATCTATCTATCTATCTATTTTATTACTTGATTATTTGTCTATCTATCTATCTATCTATCTATCTATTAGATTACTTGTCTATTTGTCTATTTGTCAGTGTCTGATGAAAACCAATATTGGAATCTGAGGAGTAGAAGGGCCGAGTGTATGGTGGGACATTTGTCAAACCCTCTCCTACCTTCATTTAGACCAGGGGCAGTTGGTTAGAGCTAGGAGTAGGTTAGAACTAGGAGTAGGTTAGAACTAGGTGTAGGTTAGAACTAGGAGTAGGTTAGAACTAGGAGTAGGTTAGAACTAGGAGTAGGTTAGAACTAGGAGCAGGTTAG